CCAACATCTATATTTAATGCCCAATAAGTATTTGTGACCAAGTGTAAACAAGAGTTCAGTACTTTCTCCTTTACATACTGTACAAAAGCTAACCTGTTGCTGACAGTGCAGCATGCCAAGGAATATCCAGTTATTTAAGGGTTGCATTGCTGAAGAATGGAAGATATCCTCCCACTGTCTCGACTAAGGTGCAGAATGAAAATTACTGTACAATATTTATTCTAACGCTCAAAAACCAGCACAGAAACGATGGGTGAAATAGCCTTCTTACATCCTGGAAACGTTGATTCTATGAACTACTGAATCCCGACCAACATGATCTAAATTAAACTAAATTAAACAAAACAAGTTTGGATCGGGTGAAGATGCAGGATCTCACCCTCGACATCAACCTACTTTCTTCGATCGGATGCTGGCGTTTGGACGTACTAGCCGTTTCGTTGTTTCTTTCGGATTTAAAACTAAGTTTGTGAAACACTTTGAGATGTGATCCCAATGCGAAAGCGGTTGGACAAGTTGGCAAGTTTTTTTTGTGCTTGAACAATTTCCGCCGAGATAGGTTAATGCAGCGCAGTCTCTGAGCAACAAGCTCTCTCCTTCCTCCCTTTACAAACCACCCCACACGCTGCTGTAAACCAAACAAGCTCATGTCCGGGTGTGAGGGAGGGCCATCCACCCACACACAGACAACAACAACAACAACAAGATTGCATTTATAGAGCGCCTTTCACGTCGGGAGGACATCCCAAGGCGCTGCACAGTTGGGTCAGGAGGACCCGAGCAGGGGGGAAATGGTCAGGGTGAGGGGAGGAAGGGAGGGGGGGGGAGGGGGGGGAGGGAAGGGAGGGAGCGAGGAGGGGGAAATGGTCAGGGTGAGGGGAGGGAGGGAGGGGGGGGGGGGGGGGGAGGGGGGCGAGGAGGGGGAAATGGTCAGGGTGAGGGGGGGAAGGGAGGGGGCGAGGAGGGGGAAATGGTCAGGGTGAGGGAGGGAAGGGGGGGGCGAGGAGGGGGGAAATGGTCAGGGTGAGGGGGGGAAGGGAGGGGGCGAGGAGGGGGGAAATGGTCAGGGTGAGGGGGGGAAGGGAGGGGCGAGGAGGGGGAAATGGTCAGGGTGAGGGGGGAAGGGAGGGGCGAGGAGGGGGGAAATGGTCAGGGTGAGGGGGGGGGGAGGGGCGAGGAGGGGGGAAATGGTCAGGGTGAGGGGAGGGAAGGGGGGCGAGGAGGGGGGAAATGGTCAGGGTGAGGGGAGGGAAGGGAGGCGAGGAGGGGGGAAATGGTCAGGGTGAGGGAGGGAAGGGAGGGGCGAGGAGGGGGGAAATGGTCAGGGTGAGGGGGGAAGGGAGGGAGCGAGGAGGGGGGAAATGGTCAGGGTGAGGGGGGGGGAGGGGGAGGGGGGGGATGGTCAGGGGGGGGGAAGGAGGGGAGGGGGGAAATGGTCAGGGTGAGGGGAGGGAAGGAGGGGCGAGGAGGGGGGAAATGGTCAGGGTGAGGGAGGGAAGGAGCGAGGAGGGGGAAATGGTCAGGGTGAGGGGGGAAGGGAGGGGCGAGGAGGGGGGAAATGGTCAGGGTGAGGGGGGGGGGGGGCGAGGAGGGGGGAAATGGTCAGGGTGAGGGAGGGAGGAGCGAGGAGGGGGAAATGGTCAGGGTGAGGGGAGGGAAGGGAGGGGCGAGGAGGGGGGAATGGTCAGGGTGAGGGAGGGAAGGGAGGGGGCGAGGAGGGGGGAAATGGTCAGGGTGAGGGAGGGAAGGAGCGAGGAGGGGGGAAATGGTCAGGGTGAGGGGGAAGGAGCGAGGAGGGGGGAAATGGTCAGGGTGAGGGAGGGAAGGAGCGAGGAGGGGGAAATGGTCAGGGTGAGGGGAGGGAAGGGAGGGGGCGAGGAGGGGGGAAATGGTCAGGGTGAGGGGAGGGAAGGGAGGGGGCGAGGAGGGGGGAAATGGTCAGGGTGAGGGGAGGGAAGGGAGGGGGCGAGGAGGGGGGAAATGGTCAGGGTGAGGGAGGGAAGGGAGGGGGCGAGGAGGGGGGAAATGGTCAGGGTGAGGGAGGGAAGGAGCGAGGAGGGGGGAAATGGTCAGGGTGAGGGGAGGGAAGGGAGGGAGCGAGGAGGGGGGAAATGGTCAGGGTGAGGGAGGGAAGGGAGGGGCGAGGAGGGGGGAAATGGTCAGGGTGAGGGAGGGAAGGAGCGAGGAGGGGGAAATGGTCAGGGTGAGGGGAGGGAAGGGAGGGGGCGAGGAGGGGGGAAATGGTCAGGGTGAGGGAGGAAGGGAGGGGGCGAGGAGGGGGGAAATGGTCAGGGTGAGGGAGGGAAGGAGCGAGGAGGGGGAAATGGTCAGGGTGAGGGGAGGGAAGGGAGGAGGAGGGGGGAAATGGTCAGGGTGAGGGAGGGAAGGAGCGAGGAGGGGGGAAATGGTCAGGGTGAGGGGAGGGAAGGAGCGAGGAGGGGGGAAATGGTCAGGGTGAGGGGAGGGAAGGGAGGGGGCGAGGAGGGGGAAATGGTCAGGGTGAGGGGAGGGAAGGGAGGGGGCGAGGAGGGGGGAAATGGTCAGGGTGAGGGGAGGGAAGGGGCGAGGAGGGGGGAAATGGTCAGGGTGAGGGGAGGGAAGGGGGGCGAGGAGGGGAATGGTCAGGGGAGGGGAGGGAGGAGGGGGGAAATGGTCAGGGTGAGGGGGGGAAGGGAGGGAGCGAGGAGGGGGAAATGGTCAGGGTGAGGGGAGGGAAGGGAGGGGGCGAGGAGGGGGGAAATGGTCAGGGTGAGGGGGGGGCGAGGAGGGGCGAGGAGGGGGAAATGGTCAGGGTGAGGGGAGGGAGCGAGGAGGGGGCGAGGAGGGGGAAATGGTCAGGGTGAGGGAGGGAAGGGAGGGGGCGAGGAGGGGGGAAATGGTCAGGGTGAGGGGAGGGAAGGGAGGGGGCGAGGAGGGGGGAGAGAGTCCAGAGACACAGTGACTGAACCGCAGACGCTGACACTGGATTTCCAGCGCTTTCTATTTTGTTGGCCCTCTTTTCAGAAGTTTCGGGACACAACTTCAAGACAAAACTTTTGTCGACGTGTGTGGCAAAGTGTTGGCTTGGAGAGCCTTTGCTTTTCGGTGCTTTCCCTTCCCACACACACACACAGACAGACACACACACACGATTTTAACACCGTTTCCTTTTGCAGATCGAACATATATAAACAGGAAAGTTTTTTTTGACACACTTTGCACAGACCGATTGGCTGCAGCCCGGGGGGAGGGGAGGGAGGGGAGGGGTTCACTCTGGGCAGGAAACTCGCATTTTCTCCTCAAAATCTCATGACGAGTTAATTCACGTTTCTATTTTGCAGATCCTGATCGTTGTCCTGTTCTGGTTGACGAGGTCTCCAGGACAGAACGCTTTTTCTTTCCCCCACATCGTTTGTGTACTTTTATTTTTGAGGGTCGGGAGAAGGGGGGAGAGGGTCGGGAGGAGGGGGAGAGGGTCGGGAGGAGGGGAGAGGGTCGGGAGGAGGGGGGGAGGGTCGGGAGAGGGGGGAGGTGAGGGGGAGAGGGTCGGGAGGAGGGGGAGAGGGTCGGGAGGGAGGGGGAGAGGGTCGGGAGGTGAGGGGGAGAGGGTCGGGAGGTAGGGGGAGAGGGTCGGGAGGGAGAGGGTCGGGAGAGAGGGGAGAGGGTCGGGAGGAGGGGGAGAGGGTCGGGAGGAGGGGAGAGGGTCGGGAGGAGGGGAGAGGGTCGGGAGGAGGGGGAGAGGGTCGGAGGAGGGGGAGAGGGTCGGGAGGAGGGGGAGAGGGTCGGGAGGAGGGGGAGAGGGTCGGGAGGAGGGGGAGAGGGTCGGGAGGAGGGGGGAGAGGGTCGGGAGGAGGGGGAGAGGGTCGGGAGGAGGGGGAGAGGGTCGGGAGGAGGGGGAGAGGGTCGGGAGGAGGGGAGAGGGTCGGGAGGAGGGGGAGAGGGTCGGGAGGAGGGGAGAGGGTCGGGAGGAAGGGGGAGAGGGTCGGGAGGAGGGGGGAGAGGGTCGGGAGGAGGGGGAGAGGGTCGGGGAGGGGGAGAGGGTCGGGAGGAGGGGGAGAGGAGGGTCGGAGGAGGGGGGAGAGGGTCGGGGAGGAGGGGGGAGAGGGTCGGGAGGAGGGGGGAGAGGGTCGGGAGGAGGGGGGAGAGGGTCGGGAGGAGGGGGAGGGTCGGGAGGAGGGGGGAGAGGGTCGGGAGGAGGGGGAGAGGGTCGGGAGGAGGGGGGAGGAGGGGTCGGGAGGAGGGGGGAGAGGGTCGGGAGGAGGGGGAGAGGGTCGGGAGGAGGGGGGAGAGGGTCGGGAGGAGGGGGGAGAGGGTCGGGAGGAGGGGGGAGAGGGTCGGGAGGAGGGGGGAGAGGGTCGGGAGGAGGGGGGGAGAGGGTCGGGAGGAGGGGGGAGAGGGTCGGGAGGAGGGGGGAGAGGGTCGGGAGGAGGGGGGAGAGAAGGAAGTACAGCGGAGGAGGAAAGAGTGTGGATGTGGAGTGAGGGTGTACGTGGAGAGAGTGCGGGGAGGGAAGCAACAGCACAGACACACACACAGAGAGGGGGAGAGTACAGAGAGGGGAGAGTACAGAGAGGGGGAGAGTACAGAGAGGGGGAGAGTACAGAGAGGGGAGAGTACAGAGAGGGGAGAGTACAGAGAGGGGAAGAGAGGGGGAAAAGTAAGAGAGAGGAGAGAGGGAAGAGAGAGAGGGGGAAAAGTAAGAGAGAGGGGGAAGAGAGGGGGAAGAGGACAGCGAGAGGGGGAAGAGAGGGGGGAGAGGAGAGAGAGAGGGAAGAGTAAGAGAGAGAGGAGAGAGAGAGGGGGGAAAGTAAGAGGGAGAGGGGAGCGAGGAGAGAGGGGGAAGAGTACAGCGAGAGGGAGGAGAGAGGGGGAGAGAGAGAGGGAAAAGTAAGAGGGAGAGAGAGAGAGGGTGAAGAGTACAGAGGGAGGAGAGAGAGGGAGAGAGAGGGAAGAGTAAGAGAGAGGGAAGAGAGAGAGGGAGAGCGGGATGGAGGGATGGAGGGAGGTGGAGGGTCGGGTACCTGCGCTTCTCCTCCTCACTCCCGTCGCTCTCCTCCGCCTCGTCCTCCACGGTCACCTCGGCTGCCGCGGGCTCGCGGGGCCAGAGGGACGGCTCCTCCTCCTCCTCCTCGGCGGTGTGGGAGCCGCGGGCCGCCCCCGCGGGGCAGTGGGTGGTCAGAGCCTGGCAGAGGAGCAGCAGCAGCAGCGGCAGACGCGTCCCGAAGCGGCCCCGGGTTTCCATGAGCGGATCATGAGGAGCGGGAGCCGCCGCCGGGACTCGGGATGGGACATGAAGCTCTGCCCCGCGCACAGCCGGTGTTTTGGTTTTTTTTCCCCCCTCCGTTGGACCCATCCGTGAGCGCGAGGGCGGGATCAGCCCACCCGCCCGCCTCCGATTGGTCCGCTAGCGCCGACCTCCACTTCCCATTGGTCCGTGTCCGCACGCTCAAACGGACTCGGACCAATGGAAGCGTTTGCTTTCCCGTCAATCGCCGCCTGCTACCCGGACCCCGCCTCTCCAGTGCTGCCGCTTCCCATTGGTCCGCGTGACCTTCCGTTAACCCGACCCGACCAATCACAGAGAGGACAGGCTGTGCCTGCGGTTGGTCTAGCCCCGCCCCTCCCCTCCGTGTTCTGATTGGTCTATCCGTGCGACACTCAATTGACGCGCGAGGGAATCTGCCGTGTCTCATTAGCTGAGATCCCCGTCAGTCACCTGTCGCCGCCTATTGCCCGGCCGGCGGGGGAGCGGAGTGGGCGGGTTTGGTTTGTAGTCCCCGCCCCCCTGGCTGGTGACTGATGTCAGCTCAGGGAACATGGCCGCTGTCCTGTCACCAGGAAATCCCCGGCTACGGCGGCCCACAGCACTCACACCCGCGATTTTCAAAACTAAATTGGATCACGCGCCTCGTCACATCTCCGAGACGCCGCAACGCGCTGCGCAGGATAGACTGCAAAGTGTAGTGACTGTATTTTCTGGGTGAAACGCGGCAGCCAATTGCGCCCAGCGGTGTCCCGCGCACAGGCGTGGGCCGAATGGCCTCTTTCTGCGCTGTGCGATTCTACGATTCTACGGATTGAGGGACCAAATTATTTTTTTTTTGAAGGAACTATTACCCCCGGAAAAACGATCCCCCAACCGGACCCCTCCTCACCGCTGGGAAACCGGAGGCGTGTGGAGTAAGGAAACTTGACCGACATTTCGCCGCGACGGGAATCAGACCCAGGTCCCATTCTTTGCTGACATAGTAGAGTCAGCGTTCTCACTGTCAAACAAAAACAGGAGTCTCTGGGAACGCTCAGCAGGTCAGGCGGCATCGATGGAGAAAGGAAAGTGAGTCCCATGTTTCATGATCCTTCGTCAGGACGGTCCTGAAACGTTGACTCACTTTCCTTTCTGCATCGATGCCGCCTGATCTGCTGAGCGTTCCCAGAGACTCCTGCTTTTGTTTCAGATTTCCAGTATCTGCAGTATTGGGGGTTTTGTTTACTCTTAATGTTAATCCTTGCATTTGATATAGCACCTTACCATGTCAAAACACCTCAAAGATTACTGTGAGGTGTATTTTGTAGGTGAATGCTGCCGCCAATTTGTATACAACAGCAACACAACAACAAGATTCCATTTATAGAGCGCCTTTCACGTCAGGAGGACGTCCAAGGCGCTGCACAGTGAATGGGCCAATTTACCTGAGGGGTTGTCGGCCAAAACACCAGGAGGAACTCACCTCTCTTTCCAAATTGTGCTGCATCCCGACATGGGGCTTGAACCGACAACCTTCTGATTCAGATGCGGGAGTGCTACCAACTGTCCCAGGCTGGCACACAACTTGCATTTAGGGTAACGTCTCAAAGGCCATTGCAGCGCTCCCCAGCACTGCACTGTCGAGTCAGCCCAACCTGTGAGCTCGAAGACTCCAACAGGCGGCTTGAAGCCTTCTTACTCAGAGGCGAGGCTTCCGATTGACCTCGGTTGTTAACAGCAATTATTATCAACCGCCTCCTTTTTACAATTCTTATTGCTTAATTTATAATTGGTATTAAAATTCAAACCTTATTGGTCCATTTTACATCTATCCCTATTTTTAACAAATTACCTCAGCCGGGTCTGGTGTGAACGTGATCCGCCATATACTTGATCCCACCCATAATCCATTTAAAGAGACAAACAGCTTCATGTTAGAGGTCACCATGTGTTCAGAGGATTTGTTCTAGTTTATACAACCCCATGATTTGTGGAGTCCTGCAGCGCCGTAGTTAGGGCACTCACTTTGAAAGTGAGAGACCTGAGTTCATTTCCAGGCAGGTCAGGGCGAAACCTTGGACAAGTTTCCTTACTCCACACAGAGCCTAATAATAATCCCTCCAAAACCAAAAACAATAATTAAATTGGTCATTTTCAATCTACGACTGTTTGTGGGACATTGCTGTGCGCAATTGGCTGCCGCGTTCGCCCACAAATGTACAGTCAATTCACTTTACAGTGTGTTCTGTGAAGCGCTTTGGGACGTCCTCCCGACATGAAAAGCGCTATATCAAATGCAAGGATTATTATTATTATTATTATAAGCAAGAAGACCTGGGTTGGATTCCTGGGCGAGGCAAAACTTTAGGCAGGTTTCCTTTCGCCATATACCTCTGTTTACCTAGCAACAACAACAAATTGCATTTGTATAGCATCTTTCACGTTTGCCAATAAGTAGTAACCCTGTTGTTAGTTGATTGGAGTTGTTAGGAAATGCACAAGCCAATTTTGTGTCCAATGATATCCCACAAACAGCCATCGAGTGAATGACCAATTTTTATTTGGGGGATTGTTGGCCAAGACACCAGGAGAAATTCTCTTCATTTTTCAGATAGTATCATGGGATCTTTAACGTCCACCTGAACAGGCAGACAGGACATTTATAACATCTCATCTTAAAGATGGCACCTCTGACAATGCAGCCCTCCCCCCACATTAATAAAAATAATCCTTGCATTTGATACAGCGCCTTGTCACGTCTTCGAGATGTCTCAAACTGCTTCACAGAATCTACTGTAAAGTGAATTGACTGTATATTTTGTGGGCGAAACATGGCAGCCAATTGCGCGCAAGTGTCCCACAAACAGTCAATGATTGGAGAGTACTTATTCCAGAGAGTATCAGGCACAGGCGGGGTGGTGAGAGAAGAGGCTTGGGGTGCCCCATGTCCACCGGTGACTGAGTGGCCCGGCACAAGCCGAGGAGTACATATTGCACCAATTCCCTCACAAATGGCCTTGGCCCTCTCTCTCAACCCCCGGGCAACAGCCACCACTTCTGGGGTCACTTTATCCATCGCAAAACTTCTCAGAGTTCAGGTTGGGTAGCCTCAGAAACTCTCACATCCCATTGCCCCTTTTACATTTCTGATGTGGTCAGTGTGGAGTTCAACAGCAGTGTGGTCTGGATTCGGTATAACTGTGCCAGTATCAGCTTCCTGTGCTGCCCTGGCTCAGCCGCTCCTTCCAACACATCGACCCCATCACCATCCTCTCTAAACATTTCCTCCGCACCCACAGCCCAGGAACCCCAAAGTCCTGAGATGAGACTTGAACACACAACCTTTGACTTCCAGTCAAGCATGCCACCAACTGAGTCAAACTGGCATCACAATGCAGGTAGGTGGGATTAGGGGAGGTGGTAGTATATAATGCCATGGTTACTCAATCCATGACTGATTGCTGTGCACAATTGGCTGCTGGGTTTCCGCCACAAAATATACGATCAGTCCATTTGATAGTGTATTCTGTGAAGTTCTTTGAGACGTCTCAACAACGTGATAAGGCACTAAATCAATTGCAATTATTATTTATTGTTCTGGCATAGAACAGGCTGCATGGCTGAATGGTCTGGTCTTTTCCTTTCTATTCTACACGTGTCATCAAACACTTCAAAACCCATGAGATGCAATAAAAAAGTTACTTATTTCTTTTATTTCTAGGACAAACCAATGGAACTAATCCAACAATATTACACTAGTCACCTCTGCCTTAATCCCTCCACCTTGACCCTATCTTTATAATCTCACTTTAAGATCTACCTCTTCAACTGCGCCTATGGTCACCTCCCCCTCTTCCTTCCTTTCGTCCCATTGTGTAGTACTCCAAGATGCTGACCTGGGTGAAGGGTGCTATTTAAATGCAACTTGTTGCTGTTTCTATCACCTCCACTCTGGAAATTTCTCCTGGTGCCTGGCCAACAATCCTCCAGATACATCATTCACTTCATGGTAGTCCATTCAATACCACCATCCCTCGCCTTATCCCCATACCCCTTCAAGCCTCTATCCTTCACATACCTGTTTAATTCCCTCTTAAAACCCACAATGGACCACTGTACTTGGCAAAGCGTTTCAAATTGTCTGCCACTAAACCCTACAAAACACACAGTCACTGCATTTGACAGCAATTACTGTCAAATTACTGTAAAAAAACAGGCTCGAGGGGCAGAATGGCCTACTCCTGCTCCTACGCCAAATTCTTGGGGACGTTTCAGCGTTACGGATCATATCACAAGCAATAACTGTCTATAAATAATTTCCTCTGTATCCTGAGTCATCCTTTCAGCAAATCTCTCCTGATCTAAATCTTGCCCCCAATGAAGATTAGCCAGGATTTGACAGACGGTGTGTAGCAGAGATTAACCTGAGATTATTGGGTTCTTGTGTCGTTAACAGGTAATCAAGGCTGCAAGTATCAGCACTATTTTATACAACACTTCCCTGTCATGAATCAGCATCTGGATGTCAAATTGGCTCAGTTGATAGCGCTCTTGCCTCTGAGTCAGAAGGTTTTGGCCCAAATTAGGATGTTGAGTTTACTGTCTCGGTTGGCACTCCAATGCAGAAGGAGGCTTTATTGTCAGAGATGACGTCTTTCTGATGAGATGTTAATTGAGGTCCTGTCTGTGTCTGGACCTCACTGACCAGCCATAAGAATATTAATATTATTATTGACTGGCTGCATGGTTAGTGCTGAGCAGCCCTGAGGCAGGGACCCGTAGCAGAGTGGGTAGAGCACTCACCTCGAAAGTGAGAAAATCTGGATTCAATTCCTAGGCAGGGCGAAACGTTAGCCAAGTTTCCTTATTCCACATGCCTCTGTTTACCTAACAGCAAGTAGGAACCCAGTTATTTGCGGATCACTTTCCGGATAATAATCCCTCCAAAAAACTCAATTCACAACTGTTTGTGGGACACTGCTGTGGGCAATTGGCTGCCGCATTTTGCTCACAAAATACACTTTATAATACTGTATATAGTGTGAAGCGCTTTTAGACAGTCTCGACAACGTAATACAGCACTATG